CATATAGAACCACAGGCAAAATTAAAGTTTTATATATTCTAATTTTTATGTTTTTGGACAGCAGACAAGAAGACAAAAGGTTCTGGACTGAATGGTAGCAAGCATTACCCGAGTTCAATCTCCTCTTAATTTTCTCCTGAATCACGTTTCGATCTGTTATCACTGTTCCCAAATATCTGAATTGTGCCACATTTTCAAAACATCTGTTTCCTATCTTTATGTCCTATCTTACCCTGCAATTTGGTAACTAGACAGCAACATATATGTGGTTTTCTCTGTGTTTATTTCTAGACCAACCTCTTTACTTGTGCCAATTAAAGTTTGTGTGTTTATTTTCACGGTATCTACAATATCACCCAGTAGATTCACATCATTGGCATAGACCAACAACTGATGGGTCCCATTTAATTTCAGTCCCACCTGGTTTACCTGGACCTTCTAAATGGCATATTCTAAAGCAAAGTTGTAAAAAGGAGTGGCGATAAAGCATTTCCTTGTTTTAGACCATTCTGGATAGGAAATTGATCAGACAAATGTTTACCCATATGGACTTTACTATACATTTCATTTAAACACATTTTAATCAACCTAACTAGTTTCATGGGTATCCCAAACTCTATCACAATATTGTACAATTCTTCCCTCTCTACTGAATCATAGGCTTTCTTGAAGTCTACGAATAGCTAATGGACTGTCTCATCGTACTCCCATTTTTTCACCAATATCTGACAAATGCAAAAGATCTGCTCTGTAGTTGATCTGTTACGCCGAAAACCACATTGATGATCCCCAATAATTTCATCTATATATGGACTTAACGTTGAGAACAGAATATTGGATAAAATTTTGTATGAAGTTGATAGCAGTGATATCCCTCGATAATTACTACAGTCAGTTTTATCACCCTTCTTGTGAACTGGTACAATAAGACTCCCTCCACTGATCAGGCAATTTTTCTTTATGCCAAACAGAAGTAATTAGCTTGTGGATCTTAGAATGTAATATTTTGCCTCCTGCTTGAATAAGTTCTGCCAGAATTTGATCACTACCTGGTGATTTATATCTTTTCAAGTTTGCAATAGCACATTCAACCTCAAAAGGGCTAGGATCAGGTACTAATGGCTCTGCTGTATGGATTTCTGTCTGCCTAACATTACTGACCCTATGTACATTCAATAACTGAGAGAAGTAGTTCCTCCACCTATTCAAAATGTTGTGGGAATCTGCAAGCAGATCACCGTTCTCATCCTTCACTAAGTTACTGATAGGTTGGTAACCCCTCTTAAAGTCATTTATTCCTCTATACAGGTCTCTAATGTTCTTGTTCTTACTGTTCACTGCAAGCTCATCAATTTTGTCTTTCAGATATTCCCTC